TGGGCAATCACCATCTCACGGTGAATGAGGAGTAGATAATTGAAGGTCTTCTCTGAATATATTGCTCCTGTGCAAGGGGCCCAAACCTTGCATGATTTAGAATGGAGAGTTCATAACTAAGACTAAATATCCTATCAGCTGATTAGATGGAGAACCAGGATTGAAGATGATAGAAAATATTTTGATATAACTTCCACATAACTCAGTCTGTGAAGATTTACAACCATCAGACACACACACACACACCCCAACCCTGGCAAAACATTACTAACAATACTTGTATCTAAGTTTTCATTTTGTTAAAGACTTACAGAACAAGCATTCATTAAAAAATCTGGATTTATTTCCTTTAAATTAGACTATATTTGGTATATACACTGAATATATGTCACAGGCATGGTATTCATGACACGTGCATAAAACATGTATGCTACTCTTAAGGCAAAATGCATCCGTGAGGATTTTAAACATGAGTGGCATAGAATATGGTCAACATAAAACATTCAATATTTCAAGGTGAAGGTCATTAAAAGTTTTAGAAAATTAAAGCGCTGCATGAGTTGAGTCTTCTCTGAAGGGATTTTATTAAATTCTCAGTCTCAGAGGAATGAAGAGACTTCTACTTTTGACCAGTATGATCAAGACGGAATAATGGGTTCCAAATTAATTCTACCTCAAACAACTAGAAAGCTGTACTACACATATGTTTTTACATATTGTACTCTGGCAGCACAGGACAGTCATTCCTTAAGATGGGAAGACGAATGAGGTGAGCTTTAAGGAATGCCCCAGCTTACTGTCTGAATCAGAGTTTCCACACTGCAGCCTGGGGAGGGAGATCTAGCTGGGGCCATGAGGATACTGAGCTGGGAGTCCACTGAGGTCAAGAGCTTAGCGTTCACAGAGTACAGTACTGCACCCAGAGTGCCAGGTATCCGCAGAGGCACCCCTGCAATTCTTCAGTAGAGTACTAGTCATCAGATATGTGTGAGGAAACCATGAACCTCCTGAAAGAGGAGCAATAGGTGGGGCTCACATGAGGATGAGAAGTTTGTGTTCCCACTAGCTGTAGTGTAAAAACCTCACAATCCAGACAGTGTCATATAGAGTATGTCAAAATGTATTGCTTGAGTAGTGTGGCAACATTAGTCCTGGATAAACACTGCTCTGCTACCACTAGGAAGTGACAAAAGAAAACCTGAAAGGATAAAACTGTTTTTAATACTTTTCAATAATTGTATTCCATGACAAAACTTGTGAATATTTACAGAAATGCAAAAATACCAAGTACTTAACAAGACAGAGCTCACATGTCTAGAATCCAATCAAAAGGGACCATTATTATAAAGAGACCAACAAAATACTACCCTTAATGAGAATAAAAATATACAAACTCAAAAATGACACTCAGAAAATATTAAAAATTGCTACAATTATATGCCATATATTAAAAAAAGGCAGAGATTAAGCCTATTATATAGAAAAATGTAAGAAATAAAAAAACTAGAGATGAACACTATCTGATATGAAAAATAAAGTGCATTTTAGGATAAAAGATCAATGAACTTCACGAAGTATTTCAGGCAGAAGGAAAATGACACCATATGGAAATTTAAAGCTGTTATCATAAAATGAAGAGCATTAGAAAAGGAAAATGTAAGGGTAATATAAACAATTTTTAAATCTTTTTAAAGGATCATTTAGCTTCCAGCTGTGATGTAGTAACAGGGACTCTTCTTCTTTCACCTGGAACAAATAAACAAACACACACATAGCAAAATAATGGAGAAAAATGTCTTTTCAAAAGCAGTGGACATCGAGTAGTAAAGGACAGTGAACCCTCAGAGATGGGAAACAAACAGAGTGAGCTTTATGACTACTCTGGCTTACTGACTTAAGTGAGTTCCCAGTCCACAGTACAGGGAGGGAAAAGTCATGCAAAGCTTGCAACCCCCTGAGGTGAGGTGCAGTTATGAATCTGAGTAGATCAAGCTGGCTACAGTTGATACGGCACGGTATCAGAGACAAGTGAACTGCACAGAGAGAGAAGTCCTGAGATCCAGAGACATCTATCTTGAGTATTAAGCAGACTACTGATCACCATGGGTGTGAGTACACACCCTCAGGCCGGGGAAAGAACCACTCACAAAGATCAGAGGGCACTCCAAGCAAACGACACGTGAAAAATTATACCAAGACACGCAATAATCAAGTTGGTCAAAATCAGTGATCAACAGAGACTACTAAAAACAGCAAGACTAAAAAGATACAACAGATACAGAAGAACATTCTACATTCAGTGAAAACACCTTTCAAAAACAAATGTAAAATACAGACTTCATCAGACACAAAAGCTGAAATTTATCACCAGATTTGCACTCCAAGAAATATTAAAGAATGTACTTCAGTCACAATGAAAATACCAGAAAAAAGGCTGGGCGCGGTGGCTCAAGCCTGTAACCCCAGCACTTTGGGAGGCCGAGACGGGCGGATCACGAGGTCAGGAGATCGAGACCATCCTGGCTAACCCGGTGAAACCCCGCCTCTACTAAAAAAAAAAATACAAAAAACTAGCCTGGCGAGGTGGCGGACGCCTGTAGTCCCAGCTACTCGGGAGGCTGAGGCAGGAGAATGGCGTAAACCTGGGAGGCGGAGCTTGCAGTGAGCTGACCACTGCACTCCAGTCTGGGCGATAGAGCGAGATTCCGTCTCAAAGAAAAAAAAAACAGAAAAAAATACAGGTCTATACAAAAAATTGAGGAGCACCAGAAATGGTATCTCCCTGGGTAGATAGGTAAGATTTTCTCTCATTATGTAATTCACTTTAAAGAAAAATTGCCTGGGCGACATGCAGTGGCTTAGGCCTGTAATCCAAGCACTTTGGGAGGCCAAGGTGGGCAGATCACTTGAGGTCAGGAGTTTGAGACCAGCCTGGCCAACATGGTGAAAACCTGTCTCTATTAAAAATACAAAAACTAGCTGGGCGTATTGGCAGGTGCATGTAATCCCAGATACTCGGGAGGCTGAGGTATGAAAAAAATCTCTTGAACCCAGGAGGTGGAGTTGTAGTGAGCAGAGATCGCGCCACTGTACTCCAGCAGCCTAGGTAACAAAGCAAGACTCCATCTCAAAAAAAAAAGAAAAGAAAGAAAAATTACTGGTTTAAATAAAGTAATATGAGGTTGATGGTACATGCAACTTATATTTATAAGCAAAATAAAAATAGCATACAGGCTGGGAAGGGAAATATGAAAAGTTATTATAATAAACGTGAAGTGGTATAATAATGCTGTAAGAAGATAAAAAGTTAGAGTATACACAAATCTCTGGGCCCAGATGATTTCACGAAAGAAATCTACCACACAGTTAAGGAAAAGTTAATAGCAATACTATATAATTTCTCTCAGAAAACAGAAGAGGAGAAAATACTACCCAATTTATTTTATGAAGCTAATATTGTCCTGATATCAAAATCAGACAAAGATAGTACAAAACAAGCAAAAACTACAGACCAAAATCTTTCATGAACATAGACACAAACATCCTTAACAAAGTATTAGTGAATACAATTCAGCAATATATAAAAAGAATTATACAATATAACCAAGGGAGTTTATTTCAGGAATGCAAAGCTGACTCAATATACCAAAATTAAGCACGACAGTAACAGACTGAAGAAGAAAAATCACAAATACATTAATTGTTAAAAAAAAAATCATTTGACAAAATTCAACAGCCATTCATCGTAACAACTCTCAGAAAAGCAGGAACAGAGAGGAACATCATCAATTTGATAATGGACATCTATTAAAACACTACAGCTAACATATTTAATGATGTAAGACTGAATTCTTTCTCTTAAGGCTGGGAACAAGACGAGGATGTCTGCTTTCAACACTCTTGTTCAGCATAGTACTAGAAGTTCTAGCCAGTGTAATAAGCAAATGAAAGAAAAGAAAAGGCATATATTTGGAAAGACAGAAATAACAGTTTCAGTTTGTAGATGACATAACACTCTTTGCAGACACTCCTAAAAATCTACAGAAAAACTCCTAAATTTAACAAATGAGCTCTATAAGATCAAGACCAACATATAAAAATTGTGATTCAACATGCTAGCAAAGGGCACTTGGAAACTGAAAATAACACAAACCACTTATAATCAATCAAAAAATAAAACATGCGTATAAATCTAACAAAATAGGTATAGAACTTGTATGGAGAAAGCCTCAAAAACGCTGATAAAAGATATCAAGTATCTAAATAAGTGGAGTAACATATCATGTTTGTGGATTGGAAGATTCAACATAGTAAGGATGCAAATTCTCCCCAAATTGATATACAAGTTTAAAATAATTCCTATCAAAACCTCAGCAAGAATTTTTTTTTTTTTTTTTTTTTTTTTTTTGCAGATACAGACAAGGTTGTTTTAAAATTTATGTGGAAAGGAAAGGAAAATAGTCAAAAGCAATCTTGGAAAAAAAAAAAAAAAACTGAGAGGACTTACTCTACCTGATTTCAAGACATATAGTAATTAAGACTATGTGATGCTGGTTGAAGGATGGATACATAAATTAATGGAATGGAAGACAGAACCCAGAAACAGATCCACAAAGGCAAGATCTAGCTGAATTTTGACAAAGGTGCAAAAATATTTCCATGGATGATAGCTGTTTCACCAAACAGTGCTGAGACACTGTTAATCAGTATATAAAAATTAACATATTCATTTAGAAAATGTAAATTAAGCCACAATATATTACTACCATATACTTACTGAATGGATAAAATTAAAGGAGTCATAATGAGTGTTGGCAAGGATCTGGGGCAATAATACTCTCATACACTGCTGCTAGAATGTAAAATGGCACAACTATTTTCTCAAAGAGTTAGCTATTTCTTGGAAGGTTATATGTATGCCTGAAATATAACCCAGCCATTCTACTCCTACTTATTTACCAAAGAAAAATAACATAGGTCAATGCAGAGACTTTTACACAAATATTCATAGCAGCTTTATTTATAACAGCCTCACACTGGAAGCAATTTAAGTATCTGTCAGTGGTGAATGTACAAACAAATAGTGATACATCCACACAATGGAATATTACTGGGCAATAAAATAGATGAACTATTGATGTACACAACATGGAAAAATCTCAGGATAATTTTGTTGAATGAAAACAGGCAGGTATTGTATGATTCTATTTATAAAATAGGGATAATGTATATTTTATTAAACTTAAACAGTTGTGAGGCTCAAATAAGATTATGTATGCATGAGAACCAACTAACATATGAAAATGTTATTATTTATAGTATTTTCATTGAAGTAATACAATTTCATTTTTCAGTCATCTAACAATGTATTCCTGGAACCAGATCATGACTCTCCTTATGGTTAATTTTTATTGTGTTTATTATGTATTTGCTATTTATTTAAATCTCAACAAAAATCCAATGGGATAAGTACTATTAGTATCATTTTACAGACGAAATTGAGAGCTAATGCAGAGCAGCAATTTGGGTTAACAGAAATAGAGCTCCACTGAGAATTAGGAGACCTGAATTTCTTGTCTTGACCCGAAGGCTGTGGGAAAGTCTTTAACCCCTCTATTGCTATTACTAAACACCAGTAACAAGTTCTCAGCTTACTTCACAAAGCTCTTGTGATGATCAAATAAGATAATGTGAAACCGGTTTATAAACATAGAGTATTAATGTTATTCTGTGGAAAATTACATAAACACAAATATCTTTGGAAAGGTAATTTAAATAAAGTTGGAGAAAAGATAAAATAACACTATGCTAAGCCCTTTCATGTTTTTTCATTGTCCTTATTTATATTAGTTTAGAATACTTTATTTCAAAAATTTAAAGGTTTAAATACTTAAAAGGTTTCCAAATATTTACAGAATTGTGTCTGAAAAATTATGCACAGATGTTTGTCTACTGTTTTTCATTAGTAAGATTAGCTACTCTCTACAGTGATAAGCATTTTAATAATAATAAGTCAGGAAATTGTTATTCTTAATATTTTAATTATCATTATAATTTGGCAGTAAAAATCACTTTTCACAAAGACATTACATGTATATTAACAAAACACTCTTGATTCATTCATTGTTGTTTTTCCATTTCTCTTGGCAGTTTTGTAAGAATCCATAATTTCAATTTGTCTAACTCAGGTTTGCTTAGCTCATGGTAAACATCTGGAAAACTATAAAACTTCGTGGTCACTCCTAGAGATTTTAACACTGCGTTTGTCTCTTCTGCCCAAGAATGAAGAACTAACTCATCTGCAGTACCATGACACTGAAATAATTCAGGAAGTACACCATTACTCTTCTGAAGAGCCTAGAGAAGAAGATATAGACAGAAAAGTTTAAGAAATTCCATTTAAGATCATTCTTAGAAATCAGAGAGAGCAGGAAAATTCCACTTTTACCAAGGCTTCAATAACTAATGGAAAAAAAAAAGACAGAGGGAGTGCTGTCTGAGGTATACATTGGTGGGCAAGGCCTGGGGACTTAGCTGGTTCCTGACACCATTCAATTTGTAACTGTGTGTCACTTACATTTACTCTATAGAGGACATCTCAAAAATGGCCAAAGCATTTCCTGAAGAAACTGAGTGACTTGGGCAGACAGACTTCTTCACAGTGTGGAAGGAGGGAGGAGTACAGAGCTAAGGTACAACTAAGGGGACAATTACATTTCAGTTCTCTATTCTGTATCTGCTTTATCATTTCCACTTCTGGTACTGAAGCTGTAATATTATAATTGAAGCTACATCAAATTCACAGATGAGGATATTGCTGCATAATAAGTATGAGCTATGTAATTGATTTTTGTTTTGATTATGTTCATGATGCAATAAGCAAACCCAGCTATAACCATCATGCAGTTTTAATATGTATAAAATTTACATATATGCTCCCCCACAACCACAGCCATAATTATCCTTTCCTCCTTGACACTTTGCTTAACAATATTTCTTGTACAGGGGATTTCCAAAACATTAATGATCAGCTGGAATTTAATCACTATGACTCATTTGGCCACGAATTCCAGGAATGCTCAATTTATATCAACTGTGTGTGTGTTTTACAGTTTTATTACCGATTTTGATTTAGTTTCAACATGTATATATTTCATTTTTTTAAAAAAAATCTAGAACTTACCTGGTAAACAGCAGATGCTTTATTCAGAAAACTAGAAAGAGCAAATACTCCTGCAACATCTTGATGATTTCTATATGCTAAATGCATTGCCATGCATCCTCCCATAGAGAATCCTCCTAAAAGCAAAAACACACTTACAGAAAAAGGAGAATACATAAAATAATGATTTAGGATATGATATATAACAATTTTTCATATTTTTAAAATATTTGGAGACCTTGAAAGAGAATGCTAAAAACAAACTTTGCCTACTGTAAGTTTCATAGACAAAAGCCTGAGATGCGTAAATAACCCTGTTCCCTCTATGTCACCACCGGTATCACTACCGGTAAAGAGAGCTGTGCTCTACAAGGAGCTAGGATTACACAAAAATATATCATGTTCACCAAGTAAAATATCTATCGTAATTCAAAATGAGTCATATTACAAGCGTTACTTAAATTCTCAATATCTACTTATATCTTGTTTATACCTACAGAAACCCTCACACTGAAACTACAATTAATAATTTGCACCTTTCTGTCTTACTTGCTAAGCTATGAGCTCCATGAGGTGTTATATTTCTGGTGTCTGCTATATAACAGATGCTTAGAGAATTCTGAATTAAGAAGAATGATAAAAAAAAATTTGAGGAGCTAGTTAACACATTTTTGGATTACAATATTATTTTGGAAACTAACTTACGGTGGTATAATAAAAATGAAACATGTATGCCTATATGTAGTTTTTAAAACCAAAGTTTGAAAAAAAACATTAGTCAAACTGTTATTGTCTCTTTAATGTACCAACTCTATGCCAGTCACTGGACATATGTAGATTAAAATACACAGACCTTCCTGTTCAGGGGAACTTTGATGAGGAAACACATCCAACACAGAATATGGAGATAGGTGTATGAGGTGACGGCAGCAGAGAGAATGGTGATTCCAGGCCTGACAAGTCAGTGACTCAGTGTAACATTCCTAGGCTTGAGAGAAAGCTAAATGACATCTCATTATGTTCCATGAGAAAATATAGAATGTTAATCATGTAGCCACACACTCATAGAAACACAAAAATATACTTTGATGTAGAATTCAAATCTCCTAATTTCGAGTCTGCTGCTTTATTTCACTTAACAAACTGTAAAGCTGAGCTCTTAAGAGATCATAAATTTGACTTTACTATAATAATCTTTTATTCATGGAGGGAACTGAGGCCCAAGATTAGGTACACATTATTTTGGATATAAAGCTATTAATAGTAATTTCAGAATTCAGATCTTTTGCAACAGAGTTTAATATACTTTCTACCATCCCTTGATATTTGTTAAAATAGGACTACTTTATCTGGAATAGGCAGGTAATATTATTTTGGACTCAGAACACAAATACCGGAGAGAGGATTACCAGTCTGGCAAAGTTTAGATTTTTTAAAAAGGCACACTAAGTAAATAATGAATAAAAGTTATCTGCGGTTTTCAACATACCAGCAAGAAATAATAAGGTCTCATTGTAGCAGTAGCTCACCATGGACAAGAGCCACCTGAATGGCTCTTTCAAAATACCCCCAATAACTCCAGATGCAGATACATCTAATTAGAAGTTCATAAATGAGCTTGGTGGGGGAGAAAAAAGCGTAAGCATCTTAACACTATATGTGAAATTTGCAAATGTACATTAGATTCTCCAAAAGGTTAAAAGCCACTGGGCATTATCCATGAATTTGTGCATTAAATCTTTGACATGTCCCATTTAGATATGAACAGCTTATGTAAATACACAAAATTAGCATTTCTGGTAAACATTTATTCTAAGTACACAGAAAGAATTCTCAACTCTTACTGGTTTTTGCCACAATTCTAGTTATAGATTTCTCTCTGCTTATGAAGTTTTCTCTGTAATAACATCATGAGGGTTGTAAAGCCAAGACATTTTGAAATAGAATTCTTATCGATCTAATTTATTGGGTATAAATTATTTAGATTTTGAAACCCTTAAGAGTAACAAACAGCTTTTCTTCAATAATCAAATTTTCATTGAGTGCTTATGATTAGTTGAACAAAGTGTCTCTGTGGTGCACACATACTAATGAGTCAGTTTCAACTTTACATGCCCAGTGGTGAGTATAGTGCTTTGCACATAGCAGTAACTCAATAAAAATTTAACTGAATTTTTAGAAACCATGTTATGGGTTTCTAATGAAAGCAGTAAAAAACTTACAAATATCTCTTAAGCTTATCAGAGAGACAACATTAAGGAAACTTTAGTTCTAGTCCTGCCTGTGATACTCCCTAGCTGAATATCTTTGTGTAAATTATTTAAAATGCTGGATTTCATTTATAATAAAACAAGACAGATGGACTAATCTTTAGAGTTTCCATCAACCTTTTAAATACAAATACTTAATCAGTTATAAAAACTAAAATTGTGAGCTTTAAAAATGTACAGTTACTGTAAATACAGAAATCTACATTCAGCTTAAGAATCCCTATCTGTCAAAACACAATTATAGCTTTCCTAAAAGTTCACAGAATAAATCTTAGCAAACACTCACTTCCTTCATCTCTTCCAATCTCCCCTTCTGTTCTTTATAGCCCATTTACTTACAAAGGAATTTCGGGTTGCTTAAAATCAAATACACTGTTAACAATAAAACTACATCTCTAAAATAGAAGAGAATGTGAGAGAGGAAGAGATGGGATTTGAGCAAAGAGTGAGACACAGAGAACAAAAAAAGAGACTTATAGACCATGATGTTAGGGTGGGGGCAGTAATTACCTGTGCAACTGGGCATTTAACAGTTTCTCTGTAGCAAGGCAATATTCTTTAACAGAAGGAATCATAACAAGTCACACTAGAAATTTTTCTTAGCATTGAATTCCTCAATGGAATTTATTAAATGGATCTTTATTAAACATAAAAATTCAAACTCAGACATTCTACATACAGCTGCTTCTGTTGCTGATTCTTTTCATAAAATTCTGGGACATAAAGACTTAACTTTCACTAGAATTTAAAGATTATGGGAGCCGGGATTTTTGTGTTTTATTCACTAATGTATCCCTCTATGCTTACAACAGTGTCTGGCACACAGAAAGTGCTTATACTTATTAAACAAATGAACTTAATGTAACTGTAAGTCAATAACAATATCTCTGCAAGGAGACAAATTTATCATCAGAAAATGTAAGTTTTTGGTAATTTAATTTGATATAAAAGTAAAGCTTAAGAAATCCTAGGAAATCTAGGAATGAATGATTAGTGTGCTCCAGGCCCATCATTCCTAATCTGACCTCTTAAAAATAAAGATTTTAGACCCAATCCCAGACCCACTAACAAAATCTCACTGCATATGTCTAATTTTTAAAATCTCTTATGCCATAAATCAGATGTCTGATAATCACAGCTGTGTGGCAAATAATTCAAAATTAAATATAATGGGTAAAAACAAAAAGTTAAAATACGGTCACTACTTACAGAAAAATCTACACGCAATAGATACCAAGGCTGCGAGAGCAAATTTATCATTTTTTCTGAGAAATTCAAGAGCTTGAATTATGTGTCTGCCAAATATAACTAATATTTGAAATATGCTAGTGTGACCAAGGAACCAAATTCTATATTTTATTTAATTTTTACTAAAGAGCCACATGTAGCTAGTGGCTACCATAGTTCTAGATCATCTAAGCTGTACAAATGATTGAAAAAAGCTTCAAAATTTACAAATGAAGCAAAAATAAAATTAGTATTTCACAGATAATTTTGAGGCTAAGATAAAAAGATAAAATGTAAATAAAAGATTAGTAGGCAAAAACTTACATTAAAAAGAGATTTTAAAAGCATACCTATCAAGAAAATTTTACATATGAAGTGACAAACACTTCATTTTTATTGACTAGGGAATGTAATCACTTTATGTAGTTTCAGAGCCCTTTGAGGGTAACAACTTAAACAAAACAAAACAAAACAAAAAAAAAAAGAGAAAGAAAACATTTACCCACACATAAAATGTCATTATGAATACACATAAATGCATCCTGATTTAACTTCATGTTCAATTCTCATAAGTTACAATGAAGAAAAATATACTCATTGAAATATTAGTATTTTAAAATTTAATCTAAGTCCCTTTCCCATTTATGATTTTGTGAGGTAATCTGTAACTCCTCACTAGTCATCTTTGACAATACAATGACCTTTAGCATAGGACACTACTGTGAAAAGGGACTTTGTGTATTTTTTCCTAATAGAAAAAAATTTAACACAAAGAACTAGTTATTTGAATTCAATTTTCCACCTAAGAGTCTAAAAAATGATATAAAATCTACTGTTCAATAAGTAAATACCAAAATAGTAAATCCATTGTAGGTAATGGTTATAACGGGTATTTACGGTTGCTGGCAAAGTATTTAAAATGTCAAGAGTTAACATTTCAACATACACTTAAGATTAACAAGCTGAATAAAACATGTTAAAAAATAATAAACCTGGCTTTATGAACTCTTTATATAAAATAAAACAGAAACAATCTATAAAAAGACTATATTGGGAACATTAAGAGAATCAATCTGAAAGTAAAATCCTTTAAAAAATCCACTTACAATTAAAGTGTGCTATCAACTAAAAAGAGCTTTAAACATGCAATAAAGTCCATCACCATTCTAAATTTCAACAGTTCTTCCATTTAATTGGTGTACTATTATAATTATTCTTCAGATTTAGGAATACAGATATTATGACTAATATATTTATTTGTATATCTCCTCTCATACAAAATTTGTGGGATAAACAAAGTATTTTCCTCTACGGAAAACTGTTAGAACAACAGTCCAGAGCCTTTAAAGTCCTACTAGTTGTTGAAGAAACATAAAATGTTTAATTAAAATACATATATGCTCAAAGAAAATAGAAGAATGCTATCATTCTGAAGTTTTAGCTCCCAGCTGGGCTATAGAGAAAACGTGTACAAGTTCAGAAAAAGGCAGGCTGGAAATTTTGATGCTAGACCTCATCTTGGGAATTCTAACTATTGCTTCATTTATTTTTATTTTTAATCTTACTGCAAAATTACTGTACATCCATTGTACAAAATGTTTCTTGTAAAAAATAATTTTGACATGTTCTCTTAAATTTCA